CAGCAACAGCAACCTATTACCCTGTTCAGAGACTTTACAGAGCTTCCTATCACCTGCAATTGTTCTCTATTACTTCTTTTGTTTTCCTTATTAAGTATCTGTATCACTAATGAGAATATAAGATCTAGAAGAGAGACTTTTGTTTTCTTTTTTGGCCCAAAACATTTTCCACTACGTTCCCAGCATTAAAAATAGTAAGTAGATAGCTGGACACCAGTGGCTCACGCCTGTAATCCTAGCTACACAGGAGGCTGAGATTTGAGGATCGTGATTCAAAGACAGCCCAGGCAGGAAAGTCCATGAGATTCCATCTCCAATTAACCACTGGAAAACCGGAAGTGGCTCTGTGGTTCAAGTGGTAGAGAGCCTTTGCCTTGAGCTGAAGAGCTCAGGGACAGTGCCCAAGCCCAGAGTTCAAGCCCCCTGACCAACAAAAAACACAAAACAACAACAACAACAAAAAAAACAGTAAGTAGAATTCCAGAGACAATCCAAAAGTATTGTTGTGAATGAATGTGCAGACCAAAATTGATGGTCAAGCATAGTTTCTTTGTGTGATGCTGAAGCTTATTACAGATACTCAAGGAGATGTGTGCCAACCTCACAATATCTCCAATGGGAACGTTTCTAAAATGTGCAATACATGCTGTATTTCTGCTCTATCATTTTTCATGGGTTTCAAAATGTGTCATAAAATATTATTGGGTCAGGGACCAGGCAGACCACCAGATGGTTGAGAATGATTTATTTCCTTGATTTCAGACTCCTGAAGAAAGACTATAGGAAGAAAGCCAGTCCTTATCTCTGTGTTTACAGAATATGAAAGACAAAAGGCCCTTGAAGTTCATCCAGCCCAGATTCACTCTTAATTTAAAAATTCATTCTATTCCACCAATCACGTGGTTATCTGACCTTGACTTTAATATTTTTAGTGATGGGACACTCAGTGTTTTACAAGATAACCTGTCTCACAATCAGACTGATTTTGATGATCAAGGTCTTCCTTCTATTGATTCAAAGCTTCTTTCTTGTAATTTTTGGCCCTTGGGTCAACATGCCTAAGTCTAGTTCCTTTTCTGAATTATGAACTTTGAGATAGATGAAGACATCTAAAATATCGCCCCATAGTGTGCTCAGCTTCAGATGAGGAATCACAACTATTTCCAGCTGTTTGTAATTCACTTGTTTCTCCTTTTAGACCCACTACTCCCTCCTGGATGACCTCTAGACATGCTACAATTAGGAGACATATGTCCTCTAGGGTAAAATGAAATTAAATTGCATTTTTTATTATGTATTAATTGTTCTTGACCCACACAGCTACTGGATAATCCACTTTTTAAGTCAACTATATATATGTAATTATGAACTATATCATTATGAATATCAGCATCCATTATTAATTATTAAGTACAAAAACAGTTTAGTAAACCACTACTCAAATGAAAGTCTATATTGAGAAAATGTATTAGAGATGACAATGCCAGTTAGCTATTGGAAAGTCTTTTGAAAAAAGTATGAAAATATTCAAAGTGAACTGGAATATCAATTTGCACAGGCTAACATTGTGACTTCTTTCAGTCTTTCAGTAGTAGGTAACTTGAAAGTAAATTATCCAATTACAAAGTACTATTAATGAAAATAATCTAAAGAAAACTAAAAATAAAATAAATTGCATTTGTTACAATAAAAATTATAGTAAATATTAAGATGAATGTTTTTAAAAATAAATTAGACTTGCTACAAGAGGAAAAATATATTAAATGTTAACTTGAATACTCATTTGGTTAAATAAAGTCAAAATACAGGGAATTCAGTCATAGACATTGTAGGAAGAACTTGTACACTCATCCATGCTTTCTTTATGATCTTAGTAATGTTTATAATCAGATCATCATTATTAATCACTATTGTAGAAAAATTTCCTGTAGTGTTGTAACACAATACTTTTCAAAATTGATTTACTACTTCTAAAAGCCAACCAATAAGAGTTAAATTCAGGCTGGGAATGTGGCTTAGTGGTAGAGTGCTTGCCTAGCATGCATGAAGCCCTGGTTCGATTCCTTAGTACTACATGCACAGCCAAAGTTGTGAGTAGTGCTGTGCCTCAAGTGGTAGAGTGCCAGCCTTGAACAAAAGGTTAGGACCAGGGCCCAGGCCCTGGATTCAAGCCCTACAGCCAGAAAAAAAAAAACAAAACAAAACAAATTCATGCTACCAAAAGTTGATAGGCTTCGAGTCATATGTCTATGCATGATTATATTGTTCTAAGTAATTTTCACTGTAGCTGAACATCAACAATTATCTGCAGTTAATACTACCCCAAAAATATTAAGTACTGTTTTTATATGAAATAAATGTGACTGCATCGTATTTACTAATTGACCATCCTTCTATACACATAACTCAATAGAGCAGTCAGCTTCTTTCTAGAACAAATAATACAGGATAAACACCAAAAGAACCTACAAAAATTAACTCAACAGTGTTTTGTTCAATGAACTAATTACCAAACATAACATATTCAAAATGATAATATTTTGAGTGCCCTTTCAGTAGTATGAAGGATGACAAAAAGGCGTTTTGCTCAGTTTTTAAAAATAAACAAGTTACGTTACTTAACTATCTCATTAATTCTTGTCATGAAGTGGAATATGCCCTCGCCATTCGTAGGTGATTAGTTTGTGATTTCCATAGCTCACAATGGATCTTACTGGAAATATGGTAGTTGCAGATGGAAAGAAGATGAAGTCACACTGGAGAAAGATGGCCTGAAATATGACTGGTGTCCTTGTAAAAGGGGGGAATTTGGAGGCACACACACACACACACACACACACACACAGAACACATCCTATGAAGAAGGGTCAGACCAAGGTAAAGCTTCTATAAGACAAGGAATGTGAGTGAAAGTTGTAAACAAATCAAGAAGCTGTTGGAGAACTGTGTGCAACAATCTTCCTCAGAGTCCTTCACAGGACCAACCCTTCACACGTATGGACTTTGAGCTTCCTCTCTCTAGAACTGCAGTAACATTAATATCCCATATCAAAGCTACTTAGCTTGCAGGGATTTGTTATAGCTCTTACAAGCTCATAACACAATTTTTAAAGTCCTTCAAAAAAAGTTTGAATATCCTTAATTGTGGCATATTTTTGTCCTTTGAGATGATTTTTTTTATTTTTATTTTTTATTGTGAAAATACTGTACAGAGGGGTTACAATTACATGGGCAAGATAATGAGTACATTTCTTATCAAGCATTGTAGCCTCCTCCTTTGTTTCCCCTTCCCATCCCTTCCCATCCTCCCCCTGTCGCCCCCTACCCAATCCTCCCCGCTACTCCCCCCCACACACCCGCACCAAAGTTGTAAAGTTCATTTTTCGACATAACGACTTATACATCTCATTGTTGCAATGGGTCCACAGCCAAATGCTATTCATATCTAAAATATGAGTAAAATAGAACATGTCCATGGGGGGAAGGAACATTTTTTTTATTGTGAACATGCTGTACAGAGGGGTTACAATTACATGGGCAAGATAGTGAGTACATTTCTTATCAAGCATTGTAGCCTTCTCCTTTGTTTACCCTTCCCATCCTTCCCAGCCTCCCCCCACCCACCCGCCTACCCAATCCTCCCCCTCCCACCAAAGTTGTAAAGTTCATTTTCGACATGACAACTTGTACTTCTCATTGTTGCAACGGGTCCACCAGTATACTTAAACGACTTGTTTTTCCCCTTCTCCTCCACAAATTATACTGACATCTAATATAGTGAATGAATTACAGCTTTTTGATTCATCAATTTACAGTATAAACTGTGTATATGCAGAAGTGACTTTGGTAGGCTGTCTAAAAAATGTTTTGAATGATAATATTTCCTGGGGGGGGATATTTTCTCCTAATTTAATGTTCTTGGAATACATGGAACTGCCTATCTTACAGAATCTGTTATGTTTCATTATTATAACCATTCTCCATGTATGTGTAATATGCAATGTATATTCACATTATACCGTGAATGGTGTTTTGTGATATACAAGTACTTAACTGACAGTGTACCTGAGGAGGGATCTCAGTCCTGCATCCCAAAGTGCTTCCCTTATTTCAACTGAGTCTAGACCTTGACTACCCAATAAAAGTTAGTAAAACGATGAAGATGTCCCCTGTATGCATATCCAAAACATAAGCCACTAGTTACAAGTGACTGTCCAGCACTGCAAATGCAACTGGTGAGACTAAGGAACTGAAATGTTAAACAATTAATTATAATAGATATAATCACATGGAGCTATTAGTTATTGTACTGCATAGTGCAGTTCTAAATTTTAATTGGAAAACAAGATTCCACTAATAATAGTGTTAAAAATTCTCCCTGAAAATGAATGAATAAATAAAACTTCTGTTAATAAGGAGTTGCTGACCATTTGGCTAATTATCTGAGAGCGCAGAGCATGCAAATTTCCTGGCACATGGTAGCTGATTTAAAATTCAATGAGTATAAAAAATTTCAGAAGCTGAAACTGACATCTCTTATCATCAGCCAGCAGGGGGAGCAGTAGAGCAGTATGTAATATTTTCTCAGGAGAATTTTTCTTCTACAACTGTGGAGGCCCTAAAATGTATATTCTACCCAGAAACTCCTGTGGTACCTGTGAATATCAAATACCAAATACAGTACCTGTGATATTCAAATTTAGCCACAAAATCTACCTTTTATTGTTTTCAATGCATTCCTAGGAAGAGGCAACAGAGTTTTGCTATCGACAACCCAGTTCAAATTTTAACTAGTTATAAAATTTGGTCTTCCCCACTTTTGTGGAAATGTGATTTGTTCATGTTTTTAGCTTATTCTTGTTTCTCCATCTATGAAAGAGAAACTGGGAAGCCTTCTAGATTTACAGAGGAAAGGAAAATTTCACTGACATAATGCTGATTCTTTAAAGTTATTTTAAGAAAAGTTTAGTCTACGATGGGTTAGTGACATATGGCCTTACCTCTTGATAAAGGTCACTGAGATCTTCCTGGTGGGCCTGTTTGGAACATCCTGGGAACTCCCTGAGACAGCAGGAATCTGGAGGCCAGTCCATTTCTGTCATTTCCAGCCAGTCAGTGAAATACACCACTCCACAGCACTTAAACTGCAAAAGAATTATTGGAAACACTCAGGAACTACAAAAAAAATTATTCATAGGAGATAGAGTTCTTAAATTTTTGAACTGAGACCTAAGCTCATTTCTATCATCATTTCATGATAAGTAGATAGTATCTGTTGTTGATAGAAATGTCATAAGAGGGGCTGGGAAGGTGGCTCAATGGTAGAGCGCTTGCCTTGCATGCCTGAGGCCCTGGGTTCGATTTCTCAGCACCACATAAGCAGAAAGGAAAAAAAAGCCAGAAGTGGCACTGTGGCTCACGTGGTAGAGCACTAGCCTTGAGCTGAAGAGCTGAGGGACAGTGCCCAGGCCCAGAGTTCAGGCCCCACGACCAGACCCAAAAAGAAAAAAGAAATGTTATGAGAGAATACCATGGGTAGCCACCCCATAATAGAACAATTCTAAGTAGTAATGTCCCTAACACCTCACAAATCAATCAGGCATGACTGAGTCTTTCTAACTCCAAGTTCCTCTACTGATAATCATATAATGACATATTTAAACATACACTAACAAATTTAATAGCTGAAATTTTATCCATCATTATCTTCAAACTACTAGAGAGCAGTTATTCCCAACCAGTTATATCAACAGGTGCAATTGCTCATGGAAAGTTTCTATAATACCTGGAGAAAATTTATTTGATCACCAAGTTAACCTGACTTGTATTCCTTAACCAGTAAAGTTTCTATAAATTTTGGGATATAAGTATAGGTTTGGCCAGCTAATTCTCATTCAGCAGAGTGATATTCTTGAAATAAACTGTCATATTCTGTCATTTCAATCTCAGAGACAGAGGGGGAAAAAAAGATTGGCTTCCAGATTGAATAAAGTTTGATTTAAGAAAAGATAGATTATGGGGCTAGGAAGGTGGCTCAGTGGTAGAGCACTTGCCTTGCATGCTCGAGGCCCTGGGTTCGATTCCTCAGCACCACATAAGAAAAAAGCCGGAAGTGGTGCTGTGTCTCAAGTGGTAGAGTGCTAGCCTTGAGCTGAAGAGCTGAGGGACAGTGCCCAGGCAAAGAGTTCAGGTCCCATGACCGGACCCTCCCCCCCAAAAAAAAGAAAAGATAGATTAGCCTGGCACTTGTGGCTCACACTTGTAATCGTAGCTACTCAGGAGGCTGAGCTCTGAGGATCCCAGTTTGATAACAGCCTGGACAGGAAAGTCTGTGGGACCCTTTTCAGTAAAAGCCAGAAGTGGTGCTGTATCTCAAGTTGTAGAGCACTAACCTTGAGCAAAAGAAACTTAGGGATTAGGGACTAGTGCCAAGGCTGAGTTCAAGCACCAGGACTCGCAAAAAGCAAAAAAGAAAAGACATATGCCTTCTAAAACTGTATTAAAGACAACTATACTTTCTCTTTTGTCCAACATCACAACAGATTAGCAAAACCTTTCTCTGATTAAAATTTAGAAATACTGCATAAAGACATGAGCAGGTTAAATTGAGAATAACAAACTCTCAGGAACAAACCTTTGCCCTTGGATATAGGAGGGGCATTATCAATCATAATTACTGAAAGCCAGAGTGATACTACGAATGAAAAGCTATCAAATGATTCTAGCATTTCTCTTTTATGAACTTGTCCTAAAAGCCACAGATGTACCACAGACATCACAAACTAAGTCCTGAGAGTCGAGTAGAATGTAAACATTATACCTTAAGTCAAATGCTATTTGACATCACATATTATACATAATATACATAATTCATCACTCAGTACCCTTAAAACCACATATGTGGTTAAATGACTTCCCTTCCTAAGCCTCAGAAATGACTTCATTTCCATGTCACTCTTTTTAAATCTTAATGACCGGTGTCCTTTCTGCCTTGATGACAGAAGGCCAGCACTTGGAACACTCTGACTCCATCTCCAGTGAAACAGCCCATTTATCTGGCTTTGTCAGGAAATGAGTTGTTCCACAGAAATGACCTTCCCAAATAACTTAAACATATCATGTTCAGTGCCAATTTTTTTGGTAGTTTCATACGTCTCAAAATATTTTCCTTTTATGTAGTTATCTTCCTTCTTTCAACAAAAGGTGATGATTTTTATACTAAAATATTTTCCTGAAACCTCCTTTAGGCTAAACTCAATATTTATACCAATGCATAACTATCTTCTATAAACCCTTCCTATGTTTTTGTCTCTGTTAATATTGCATTGTAAGATAGCTCTACTCTTGTTAACACAGTGTCAAGCTCTAGAAAATGCCACATAATCATCATTTGCTGTATGAAAGAAGAAGAAGAAGAAAAAAATCCCTCGCTGGGTCAATCAATTTTCCAAGGCCACAGGCCAGTCTGTGGCTAACATATTGATCCTAAAGCCTCTATTCCAACCAAAACAGGTATTAAACAAATGTCAGTAGGTATTATGCAAGAGTCTACTGAGTCGAGGTACATGCACAGAAAAAGCAATGGATGAGGGACTAAGCAAAGTCAAAACTTGACAAGCTGACTTTCTGCTCTATGACTTCTTTTGGAAAAGGATGTTATATATAGGCTGAGTTGTATCTTCTTCTTCCCCTACCCTCCATAATCAAATCCATATGTTGAAATTATGATCCCCAGTATCTCAGAATATAATTGTATTTGGAGACCATTTTTATGTATATATAGGAGTAATTAAGTAAATAAGGTCATTAGGATGAGGCTCACATATGAGTGATAGCCTTATAAAAAGAGGAGATTTAAACATGAAGAGGAAACTTTGTACTTACTATAGCTATACTAGTGGACTAACATAAGATACTTTGGAAAACTCTTCTAGGATGTTCAAAAGTCTTTACCAATCATTTTATGTAAAATTGTCTTAGGAGATACAAAGAATTTGCCATATGACAAGTAGCATGTGATCATTTGCAGTATTTGTACATTGTTCATCCAATGAAGGCCTCATCAGGAAAAAAAACATGAACCACACATTGATTTTTAACTCATTAATCATGATCTACTTCATAAATTTCAGAAAATAAAAAGCTCTGGACAGTAGCTGAACACATCTTACTATAAATTCTCTAATGTTCATTGGATTCCCTTTGGATTGTTTTTAGTACAATTGTACAGTCAACAAACTGTCAGGAAGCATTGAAGTAAACAGGAAATCTGTGTTACAATGATCATGTCACCATATCAACAATTATAAAGAGAGAGATTTGGAGATTGTCCTGGATGTGAACTTCTGCCCAGATCCACCCAGGACAAGTAGCTGAGCAGGGGGCTGGCTGTTAGGGAAGGTTTTCACTCTGAAAGGCTTCATGGCCCAGTGCCAAGACAAATCAAAGGAAACAGAGATACTTGATCATCTGAGGATATGACTCAAGACACAAGGAAATTACTTGAGAGAAGGGCTTGGTTTGAAACAAAATTGATGGTTAACTTCAAATCACCAGATTTTAAACAACTAAAAAATGGTCTTCATTTGCTACCACTGAGTGCAGTACAATAGAATAGTTAGGGATGAAAAGCCACATTTTTGTTGTGAATAGCCACAAGCTAAATGAGATCAACTTTATGAATTTATTCAATCTAATGAACACTCTAAGAAGGTAAGCATTCTTAGTGTCCAAATTTTATAGATGAGGAAATTTTATAGATGAGATTTAAGGGGGTTATGTAAATTACAGAGACTCACTGAACAGTAAGTGCTCAAGTTTGGATTTAAACTCAGGTCTTACTGACTAGAAAGGCTATGCCTGGCACTGATGGTTTATACTGTTAATCCTAGATACTCAGGAGGCTGAGTTCTGAGGATCATGGTTTGAGGCCAGCCCAGGCAGACAAATCAGAAGTTCTGATCTTCAATTAACCAGCAAAAAGCTGTAAGTGTAGGTGAGGTTTAAGTAGTAAAGAGTCACCTCTGAGTAGAGGGGAAATAAGAGCATTATTGGAAAATAAGGGAAATAAGACCATGAGTTCAAGCCTTACTAGCAGTTTCAAAAAGAAAAAGAAGAGGAAGGAAGAAAGAAGAAAAAGAAAAAAAAGGAGGAGGAGGAAGGAAAGGAAGGAAGGAAGAAAAAGAAAGAAAGAAAGAGAGAAAGAGAGAGAAAAAGAAAGAGAGAAAGAGAGAGAGAGAGAGAAAGAAAGGAAAAAAGAAAGAAAGAAAGAAGGGAAAGAAAGAATGTAAGTAAGTCCATCAGTCATCATGGCCTTAGTATATAGACTCCAAATTCCCAAATGAGAAAAGTCTATAATAAAAAAGTTAACATTTATAAATATCCTTAAGAATTGTAAGAAAAACTTCTACTCACATTTAACAATGGATGTTTATCAAAGAATGCAAAATAAACTTCATATTAGTTTAGTAAAATGACTTTTAAGTAATGTGAATAGCCAGGTAAAATGAAGGGGAAGTGGAAGGTAGACTTGAGGAGTAAGCCAAGCCCTGCAGTGACTTAGGAATTCCTCAACTAAGAATTTTGTGACAGTGCTAATGGAATCCAAGGCTATCATTTGCAACACAGAGTTACTCAAAGCAAAACTGTGAAAACCTCCAGAGACACACGGAGAGCACTTACCTCTCTCTGAAAAAAATTCCAAGCATGAGTAAGCCATCGATATCTAGGTAACCCATAATTTGTCATTCTGGCTTTCAGAGTAACCATATCTGACCACTGTACTGGAACCTAGAGGTAAAAAGCAGAATATCAACACACAAACATGCACTCAGACACAGATACACTCCATATTTAAAATGCACTACTGATCACAAATACTGGTGATATACTGATTGGCAGAAACTGTTGTAAATTTATTAATGCTTGACATTCAAACAATCACACAGAGATCAAAACCCAGAAAAGAGAAAGGGAGAGATAAGAAAAAGATTGGGATAATTTTGAAATCTTATTACAAAAAAAGAATAAATTAGTAATAGTTTAAAATACAATACACACTGAAGTTCCTAAGTTTTTTCTTTGACAGTCTATGATGGTGATGATGATGATGATGATGATGATGAAGACGACTACTACTACTACTAATAGTACTACTATACTTAGAAATAAATAACACAAAATAAAATACCGAAACACTTGGGTAAAGAATTTTGTCCCCAAATCATGAGTTAATTGGGGATACTCTGTGCTCATATGGCACAGTTCAGCAAACTAAGGTAAGCTCAAGTAACTCATTCTAAATTATTACTGTCTCATCTCCTTTGAGACATAAAATAAATTTAACTGAAGTAAAATTTCAAGAAATGTATCATTTGAAACAATTCATATTATATATAGGTTTTTATCTAGAGAAGACATAACAGGCAAGAAGTGAAAATTACAACCAAAGTCACGAGAAAACAGACTGATGTCAAGTGTCTTGATTTAGTTACTAGAACAACTTTTAAAATCTGACTTTCCAAGATAAATATAGGTTGTTTCTTTACTCTGACCGCAATCAATCTGAAACCAAATGTGGCAAGAAAACACAAGAGACCATTGAGATTCTGACCCAACTACTGGGCTCTGGCCCATAAAGCAACACAGTGATTGGATCCTTGTATAGAATAGCCAAAAAGCACAAAGCCCATTCTATGTGAAAACTGGCTTGTGCAAAGTTTGGCAGATAATAAACTTTAATGGCACTTTTCATTCTCACTGTTATTAGTGCAGAAGCAATAAAAATGTGAGCAACTTAAAAAAAAAAAAAGACTGCTTTCCACGTCTTACTTTTAAACAGCCCTTGCCTTATCCTGGTGATGTAATGGGAAAGATTTGCACAAGAAAAACAGTAATCTTGGCTCACATGAAATGACAGTGTGCCTTCTGAGTACCCCAGGACTCAGAAGCCTTTGGTGACTGTGCCTTACACATATCTAAACAAGTATAACTTCCTTCTAGTTCATGGTTTCTTAGAATTATATTCAAATCACTACATTTCCTTTCAAATGCTGTTAATTTATTGGTTTTAGTTCAGCCACCAGTGGGGAGATTTGCATCTTGCCACAGGATATATCCAATCCATTTTTAAAATCTCTATGTAATAAACGCATTTTTGGGGGGGTAGGAAATCTTTTAATTACTAAACAGAATTAAAAAGCTGATGTAACAAAATCAAAAATAGATTTACTCTTTTGTTGCTTACATGTCATGGGTGTAATTTTACTCTTTGAAATCAGAGAAACTGAGCAGAGATGATCTCTTTATCACTAAAACACAAAAATCAAGTCCTCGGTAATTTTTTCATTTCCCTATCTATACAAAATTTCTAGAGGTGGTGTGCAAACGTGAATCTCAGGGACAGCAAGAGAATACTTGGGTTGACAGGTAGAAATGCATACGTAGCTAATTAGAAATTGCCATGACTTCAACTTTTCTCAAATTCTCTCATCTTGCTCAGTCACCATTCATTGGGAGCATGAATGTCTTCACAGAGCTGCTCTGAATGGCACAGGCAAAGCCAAAGCATCCAGGCAATGGAAAATGCAGTGTTTCTGTTCACCTATAGTAGCCACCTAACAGTCAAAAACAGTTTCATAACACAGTCTCCTAACAGTCTCTTTAATGATTGTGTTAGTGTCAGAAATGATGTCAATTTTATTACACAAAGTCTCTCTTGGCTCTGAAGCAAACAAAATAATCACCTTCTTTCTCTACTTAAGAGGTCTTGAACTTTCAAATGTTTAAAACTCACTGGGGAGGACCAGGTTCAGTGATTCATGCTTATAATCCCAGCTCAAGAGACAGAGATCTAGAGGTAAGTGTTTGGAGACAACCCAGGGAAAAAATTAGCAATACCCCCATCTTAATTAACAAACTTGGCACGGAGGTTCACATTGGTCATCCCCACTAAGTGTCAGGCATAGGTAGGATGACTGCAGTTTGAGGTCTACTCTGGGAAAATATGTGAAACCCTAGCCAAAAAAGAAAAGAAAAAAAAAACACCTAGAAATGACTAAAAGGGCTGGGGCATGGCTCAAGGAATAGAATGTTTGACCAGAAAGTGAGAACACTCAACCCCAGTGCCACAAGAAAAACAAACAAAGCAGAAAACAACAATAAAAATCTCACTGGGCCAGGTATCATAAACACAGACACCCAGTCTTCGCCCTCTCCCACTCTTCCGTTCTGATTCAGCAAATCTGGGCAAGAATCCAGGAACGCACATTGTTAAGAATACAATGTAATGGGTTTCATTATTCTATTTTCATATATGCATATAATGCGAAAGAGGAATCGAAGGAGTGAATTTGATAAATGTGCATTATATGCTTGTATGGAAATGTCACACTGAAACTTTTTTTAAAGTATACTTAAAAAATTACCTTGCGTGAGTTCTACTGCAGATGGCCCAAGCATTATATGTTAAAATGCATCATTTTATTGAAACAGAATTGCTTTACCACATTTCTGGTGGAAAACTCTTCCCTACCTATAGCCATCAGTCCCAGACATGGGACTCCATGTTTGAGAATAAATGCTCACTGATGTGAGCAAACCATGTAAATAACAACTAATGTGAAGACGCTAAGTGTGAGGTAAGATCTTAAGACTGAAACTGTTTTCTTCCACTCTACCACAGCAATCAAAGTTGCTACACTTGAGTCAAGAACTGAAAAGAAAGAGAAAAGTTGCTGCAGAGTTGTTCGCAAGCAGCCAAGTCTCAAACTGTGAGGGCAATCTGGAGTGCAGCAAACACATAGTAACTCTTTCAAACACATTTGTAGAAGCAGAATGTGGTTCCCGGTGTGACATACACACAATGCTGGCCTCCTAGTCACGAGCCCTCCAGTGGTTATCTTGTCAGACTCTAAGGAAGTGTTCAAGCACTCTCAAACAAATCACGTTGCACATGCAACTCTTTCCATCACGTAATGAAGAGTTCAAAAGATTAATTTAAAACATTAAAGACAGACACCTATGAGAATATACCAAATTAAACACTATCCATTAGGATTAGGAAATGTGCATTAGGTGCAGAAAAGAAAATATTACTTTTTCCAAAGTAGCAGGCTACTCAAGGTGGTTATGTAACAAGGACGTTAAAACTAATAATCATATCCTTAAAGTATTGGATTTAAAAGATTACACTGAATATTGTTTTGGGGTTGTGGTCATATCCCACTTTGAACTCACCATAAGCTCCTGTTCATATGTCCAAACACCACAAGCCAGCTCTACACAGAAAATGACAAGTAAGCTTCCAAAGTACTATAGAAAAATAAGAAAAAATGTGTCATTATTATACAATCAAAATTAAGTGTGGTCATCAAAGACAATTAAATCTTTTTCAGTGCTGTATTTACCTCATGGACAAGAAAATAGGCCAGTTTTCAAGAGGCAGAATAGAAAAATTTTAAGAAAGTTAGACACACCTACAGATCTGACCTATATGCAGTCAGCTTAGGTAATCATTTTTTGTCCTGGAACAAATATTTTATAAATAACAGTGCTTTCATTAGGCTAAATAAGAATTTACATTTTAAATAAGAATTTACACTTACATTTTACTACATCAAGTTTTCTGAGAAATTGTGCATAGATTCTTTCAAATTAAATAAAATAAGATCAACAAGTTCAGCACTCTACCTATGATCATATTTTAACTCATTCTTCTAGGAAAGGGAAGAGGAGGTCCTTTGTTTTCTTAACAGAGAACAATAGAGAACAAAATCTCAACTACTGGTGACAGTTTCAACTACATCATTAATTTTCTATTGAGAGAAAGGCACTTGGGATCTATTTGAGCATATCAGAAATTCCCAAAGGCATTCATGGAACAATTAAACAACATGAAGTTGAATATAACATCAAAAACTGAAGTGAAGATGACAATCAGGATTCTAGTAAACAGATGAAAAATGATACAACCTCATAAACAGCAGGGGAAATTAGAACCAAGAGTAAACGGAATTTTGAGAAAATAAAAACCATGAACAAATATGGAGAAGTCGTTAAAAAGTACAGTAAAGTCCTTAGGGACAGAAAACAGATCCATCTAGCAAAGGACAAATGATAAACCTCCTTTGAAAAACAGATGAAGGAACCAACATTGAATCCATAAAGGGATCCATTTCCTCCATGCAAACCACAATAGAAGCCACAGTCAACAGA